CATTATCTAATTTTGGTTGTATGGAGTTAATCGATGTAACAAAAAATGAATAACTCATATATAAATGAGAAAACGTCAGGCAAATTAAGGATTAGTAAAATAATTAATCACATCAGGTGTTATGGTATAATTGGATAAATAAAAAAGGGATTTTCAAAGGATTATAACAAATTCCTTCCCACTCACGTGTAGATGATTCTTCTTGTTCGATATCTCTCAGTGCTCTTTCCTCTGCTGCTTTAACAGCATTCTCCAGTCTTTGATCAAACCATCTCCTGTACTCATTATATTTAGCCTCCCCAAATTCCTTTATACGTGGATCTGTTTGTATTTTCTCATTTTTTTGTTATTATATACAATTCCGAATATTTTGCCTAACGCTTTCATAAATATACATATTAATTTCCTTTATACTTACCTATTTCGATCTTATCAGCTAATATTGTTTTTACATTTAGCAGTGAACCACGAAATTTTTGCCATTGTTGTTCGGTAGGAATGAAATTATCTATCCAAGACAAATCTGGTAATCCTTCCTTCCATTGATCATATTTCTACAAAACATTATTATTATTATTATTATTATTATAGAAAAATTGATTCTCTTTAAGATTATATAATTCATTATTATTATAAATTATTCTAGTTACTTTTTGTAATGTAACTCCACCACCCAAGGCACCACCTAATAGTAAATATCGTATTTTCAATGCACCTCTTAATATTCTAGCAATAACCATGGCATAGCCACGATTAGGATTTGCATAGTAACGTATATGTGGAGATGCTAATAATGGCCTGCATATTTTGTTTATTTTTCCTGACATTAAGCATCGTGTTGTAATTTTAGATATTGGATACTTAGATGATTTTGATACGAGTAATACACTGTGCCTAAAAGAATATGTTTTATGTTTATTATTTTATCATAAATTATATAATGATAATAAATACTAACTAGAAATAAATTATAACAAAATAAATTACAAACTAAAATGTGAAGTTTTAATATAGTTTTAAAACAGATATATATTTTAGGTTAGAATTAATAATAATTTGATTAATAAATTAATTAAAATCAATTGAAAATAAAAGTTTAAAATCATAATAACCTTGTATATTTTAATAATTTAAATAATCATTTAAAAATGATTTATGTATTAAAGCTTACCCCAATCTACTACATAAAATTTGTTTCATCGTTTTTTCTATTATATAGAGTTACGATTTAATATGGAATAGGTATTTTTAAAATACTCTTGTTTTTAACGGCATACATGTAATATATCAAATTAAGTATGTAAAACTTTTCTAAAAGCCAATCAAACCTAAATTTTAGGTTATTCATTCATCATCGTTCGATGAATTTAAACAGGCTGGCCAAATGTAGTGATGCGCCAGTACGTGAGATTTTCTCCCACGTGGGAGCCTTCGTGCGCATGCGCAAGCTGATGTCACGGCTTGACAGTGGTTGTTTCCATAGACGTATCTATGTGCTGCAGCAGTACGCGTTAGGGGCTCTTCCCGGTCGTTTCCCGCGTTTTTCGTTAAAGTGAAGGTGAATCGCGTAATATTATATAATATATTGAATTGTAGTGCAATATTAGTGAATTATAGTGACAGAAACTAGAAGATGGATTACCAGCAACCTAGTTCGAGTGGATTGGTGAATAAGAAGAGAAATAACAAAGGTAAATATTTCAATTGTCTTGGCTAAAGAACAATATTTTCAAAGACTGGTTAAAATCTGATGACAATAATAAAAAACAGTTGTCCACATGTAATTGCAATAAAGTTTTGATATGCGAAATATCAAAACTTATTTTTAAAAACAATATTTATTCATTTATTTCCATGTAAATATGTTATTTCTTTGAAAAATGTCATCTTCTTGTAATTTCTATCTTATTTCAACAATATACCATATTTGATTGAAGTATATACGTTACTGTGGATTAGATAGTACGCATGCGTGAAAAAAATCCCATGTCCTGGTATCACTGACCAAATGTTGAGTAATAAAATCATTTCAAACTAATTCTTATTGGTTGTTGTTGATGTCGCTAGTGTTGCATTTCTACAAATTCGAATCAATTGCAATAGCTGTTTAAATTGGAAAAAAAAGGTAATTATTAAAATTTATATTATTTATGTCAAAATATTTGCATGAAGAACGTTTTTTTAATATTTGCAAAATCTATATATATATATACATATATAATATTATATAATATATACATATATATTATATAATATTAATACATTATTTTATTTTCATACTAATTGCATATTTATATATTGTTATTATATACTACATTGAATATTTACCTTTGAAATTTGATTTAATTATTTGTTTTTATATATAATAATTAATAAATAAAATTGTGCATTACAATATATATATATAGTATTAATATTTATGGATGCATATATATAAACATATTTAAATAACACAAATGATTCTTTAGTAATTTTATTTTCCTTTGCAATCCTTATATTACAAAACATACTTTTCCGGACACATTGAAAATATGCTCTATTTACACTGGATCATTATCTAGTTTTTTTTTTGTGCTAACATTTCTCTTTCATTCATTCTTTCTTTCTTTCTTTTTATTTTTTTTTCATGTTTTTTTGCCTCCTCCTCTCTACCATACTACACACTTTTCTCTTCTCACTTTACAGGAATAATAGTATTAATAAACTACATTTGCATAGGCTTTCGTATAATAATGATTATGGCAGTACATTTACATTTAAAGTCTATTATCCATTTTTTATGTCGTACATATATAACTTTTTTGTTTTGTTTTGTTTTTTTTTTTTGTTTGTTTTTATTTTCTTTTATATCAATACGAAATCTGCATTTTAACTTACTTACGTTTATTAATAATATGCAATTTTTTGTTGTTGTTTATATACTAAAGCATACGGTAGGAAAAATCATAGCTTTGCGTTGATAAGTATTATTATATATATATAATTTTTCCCCCTTTTATTTTGTTTGCTTTCTCTCCCATTTCCCTCTTTTTTTTTTCAATTAAATACACGACACTTTGATATTTGTTTCACCATGACGTACGTGGAGATCTATCGTTCAAAAATTTTGATAAAATATCAAACAGAAAATGGGCTTTAAAAAAAAAAAAAAAAGCAAAGAGAGACCACAAAAAGAAGAAAAACAAAATTTACATGTTTTATTTTTTTTTTTTTCATAGATATATTATTTAAAGCAGCCTTTTTCAATGCCATAATTAATTTGTTATTGTTGTTGTTGTTTTTTTGTTTTAAATTATTTAATGTATGTTTTTTTGTTTAATTCTTTCTACACATGTGTATGTTGTATGTGTGTGTGTGTGTGTGTCCTGTGTATGTGTGTTACATCTAAACAACTCTTGTGTTAAATTTCAATGTTTATTTTTTATTTCATTTATTTATTTATTTATTTATTTTAGTTTTTTTTTTTTTTTTTTTATTNTGTTTTTTTTTTTTTTATTGAAAAACCACTTCCTCGACCTGCTCTCAGCGATATGTACGAATCACAAAAAGCTGGCAAAAGCGCTACTTTGATTGGACCCCAGTTTACATTGTCCGTCAGAAGTAAACAGCTGTTTTTGGTTTCTTTTTTTTTTCTCTTGTCCACTCTTTCTCTCTCTCCCTCTCTCATTCTCTATTTTTCTTTCTTCCTTCCTTCCTTTTTGTTTTTTATTTTTTTTATTTTGCACTTTTCTTTACTCTACAAAAAATCTATGCAACTAACTGTAAATGTTTTCTAGTATTGTCTCTAAAGGTGTGTGTCCCTTCTTTCTTCTTTCTTTTTTCTTTCTTCTTTCTTCTTTACTGTGCCTTTTTTTCCTTCTCTACATTTTTTCCTTTTTTCTTCTTTTTTTTTTTTCTTTTATAATAATATTTAAAGATTTCTATGTATATATCTATATATAATTCAGTCACATATACATATATGCAGGAGATACATACAACATTTCTCATTTTACATGCACACACACACACACACACATGATGCACTTTCAATAATATTTCTCTTTGATGCAGCAGCACACTCATACTCGTCATATTATTTATAAGATTCTTATAATTGTGTTTTTCTTGATTTTTTTTTTCTTTTTCTTTTTTATTATTATTATTATTATTATTATTATTTTTCTTACAACGAACAATTAAAAGAACATAAGCAACGGAAGAAAAAATTAAAAACAAAAAACAAGGGAAGAAGAAGAAGAATATTTATTTATTACTATTATTATTATTATTATTATTATTATTATTATTATTATTATTATTCGCTAATAATTCTCGTTCGTAATAATAATTATACCACAAGCAACGGCCTTTATGTACATTTTGCTGGTGTGTGTGTATATATTTTACTTTATTTGTTTTTTTTTCTTCTTTTTTTTTTTAATTTTTTTTTTTTTTACCTTTTTTATATTTTTTAAATTTTTTCTTTTATTCTTCTTCCATAATACATTTTTCTTTTACGCAGTTTCTTCATATGTCGCAGCACATTACTACTATAATTACTATAATATTATTACTATTCTCTGGCTCATATAATTTCATCATTGAAAAATCTAAAACTAAAGAAATTAATTCGCTAAGATAAAATATTTTCTCAATCGTATTTTTATATAAACAACTTATTAATTATTAAATTCGGTTAAAACTAAAAATAGAAAGTAAAACAAAAATAAATGTTTCCTGGCAGTACATCACATTTATTTATCCATTGTAAATATATATATATATATATATATATATATTTGTATATATATATATTTATATGTATATATATATTTATATATTATATATATATATATATATATATATATATATATCGTCCACGTTATAAGAAGTATCTTCTAAATACAATAAATTCGTTTTAAAAATAAACGAAACCACAGTGAATGAATAAATCATTATATCTTTTCCTTTAAAAATCCTTTTAGAAAAATCTAATAATGAAATATACTAAAAGGAGAGAAAATAAATGTAATGATACGTATATATATATATATTTAATTATATTTGTGTTCTATTCGAATATCTCTATATGATTAAATCTAATCGTGAAACACGTATCAAGAAGTACTATTTCTGTGCTTCTTACTCTTAGATCTAACCGAATCAAATTCATCTTCACTCCTACGTCGTTTTTCTTTTAATTGTTTTTCCATCGCCAGCATAGTAATCATACGTTTGTGCGAATCACCAACAATCCAACCATGCTGTTCCTGACGATCATCTTCCTCTTCCTCGACCACTGGCGTTGGTTCAATTATTTCTTCCTCATCACTTGAACTTGACCAATAATAGAGTTGATTAACTGCAGCACGTTTTCTTCGACCAATTGCAACACCAACTCCTTCGTCAACTTTGTTCCACGATTTAGTTGTTTTTAATTCTTCATCATCGTCAACATCTTTTTTACCACTAGACGATTTTCTATCCTTTAAATCTTTTCCATTTGTAGTCCCGACACGACCACCCCCCTTCGATCGATCAGAATTCGTTAACTTAGTCCTTTTATTACCATTGTTCAATGTTTTATTCTCATTACCTTTTACTGATTTCTTTAATTTCGATGGCGACTTTGTTGTACCCTTCTTCGATTTCAAATTGGATTCCAATAAATGATTCACGTTTTCATTAGCTATTACATTATTGTTACCTTTCTTCAGATCTGTCTTTTCACGATTGTGTTCAGAATCAATAGAAGGACAATCAATTATTCTGTCGTTTCCTATAGATTCTTCTATCTTCTTCGGTTTATCTTTAATCGTTTGATGCTTCCTTTTATCAAGACTTTCATCCGACAAAACAATTTTATTTTTAGTTAAATTGTTCGATTGTACTACTGTTTGTTCGATAACAGACGATTCTACGTTTAATTCGAAATTATTAGTTGTCGTCGTTGTTGTTGTTATTGTTGTTGTTGTTGTTGTCTTTTGTGCACTTTCCTTTCTCTTCTCGAGTTCCCTTAAGATCTCTTCCTCGATTGCTTTTTGTTCCTTTGCTATTATCTGTTCGTGTTTCTTTTCTAAATACCTTTCTTTTCTTTTTTCTTTAGATTCTCTTTTCTGTTTTTTCGTTCTCTCGTGATCCGATTTATCGGTATATTTTCTACTTTGAGTTTCCCTAATATTAGTTTCTTCATCGGAGCTACTTATTTCTGCCAACAAACCTTGTTTACCAATCGCACACTTTCTTTGTCTTCTGGTTGGTTGAAATTCCATGAGAATCCTTTCTTGTTCCTCCTGTAATTTCTTTAATTGTTGTTGCTTCCTTTTCTTAGATTCTTGAACTTTTCTACTTAAGAACACATGCAAAGGTAAATTGTCCGATTCCTTTTTTGGTTTTTCATTAGTTGATAATTTTTCTGGTAATTCGAGAACATCACAGTCAATCTCTTCGTCCTGTTCTTCATTCGTACTTTGATATCCTTCTGGTTCAGTTTCTTTTATTGGTTCAACGATAAGTTCTGTATTTGGTATAACATTTGTCTGTTCAATTTGATTCACATTTACATCAGTATTATTCAATATTTCCGTTCTATCCAATAAATCTAAAGCTTCCTCTAATGGTATAAGTTCATCTTCAGGAGTATAATCCGTTTTTGTATTTTGCGAAGTCTTTTCTATTTGAGAAGGAGTTGAACACTTAACAGTAGTCGTCTCATCTTGTATCCCTCTTAAATCGGCTATTATTTCCGTTTCAATGTCCGAATCAGCAAACGAACTATCTTCTCGATACAAATCGTCTAATTCCAAGATACGTTCGGATTGATTATCGGCATCGTCATCGCTGTTTCTTTGCTCGTTAATCTCCTTTCTTTCATCGATCACCAATGGATGATCCGACATCTCGGATTCTGATTTTTTATGATCGATATCATTATTCTTAGTAGTATCAATAATATCGGTGGTAACATGATTTGTAGTAGTTGCCCATTCTTCTTCCTCCTCCTCTTCTTCTTCTTCAATGTCTTGATCTCGATCACCGAAACAATTATTTTCTTCGGTTCTCTCGATCTTATCAACCACCTCTTCTATCTCGATATCTTTTTTAACAGTTTTCTTAACTCGCCGACGTCTCTTGGAATCATAGCCAACACCACCATCTTCAAATTCACTCTCGGATGATGTCGATAATTCAGCGAATAGATTTTGTTTACCTTTAGAACACGTACGTTGACTCTTTGTAATACCTACCCCAACGTCTTCAGTTTTAGCAGCTGTTCTATACTCATCCGAACTATCGTTTTCATACCACGCATTTCTTGCTTTCTTTTTAGGATTTTTATTCTTTTTCTTGAATTTGGTATGCTTTTGTTGATCAACCGATCGTTGCTGCTTAGGACGTTGTTTTCTTTCTACAAATTCATCCATAGGTCCTGTAATTCGTTGACTTTGTTGTTGTTGTTGTTGTTGTTGTTGATGATGATGTTGGTGATGATGATGACTGTGATGATGATGATGATGATGATGATCCTCACTTTGGAATGCTTTCAATGCACCTTTTGTTTTAGGTGCAAACTTTTCCATCTCTTTGAACTTACGATCAATCATAGATTCCAATCTTGTTCCAAGAACGTCTCCAGCTGTTCCGTTTTCTAAACTATCACCGATAGCTTTTGACAACAGATCAGCTACATCAACTTCTTTCGTTCTAATACAACTTACTTCATAATTTTTCTCAACTTTATTTCTATAAGACATGACACGACCGAAAGTAGGTTCCATTTGACTCTCATCTTCATCGAAATCGTAAACGTCTTTAATCTTTTCCGATCTCAACTCGTTGTTATCCTTTCGTTCAAAATTATCCCGACGTTTTTTCTTTTCTGCCATTCCACCCTGATTGTTTTTTCGTATTAACGGAAAGTCCGGACGTTTTTTCGTTTTCTTAGATTTACGTTGTTGTTTTTGCATTGCGTTTAAATCATGTAACGCAGTTTCAGCTTGCGATCTTTCTTGTTGTCTTCGTTCATTCATCTCCTTTTTTCTCTCGAATAATTCCTGTATAGGATTTCTCGCTTTCTTAGGTTGTAAATCCTTTCCTACCGTCACCGATATTGTCTCCTGAATCGTATCCTTAACCGGTACGGTGATATTTGTCTGTCGATCTTCAGGTGAAGTTGATCTTGGTGCACGTGCACAAGCTAATTCAGCGAGAACCTTCATCGGAGTTGAACCACTGTGAAATAAGAAACGAAAATTCGTATCATGGTAGTAATTGGGAAAAATTCAAAAGAAAAGAATATGAAATAAAAAAAAAAAAAAAGAAGCTTTTTTTTACTCACTTATGATCGTGTTTGCCATTATTATGCAACAAGTTTGATAATGCCTTATCTAAAAGGCCTCCCAAGGCTGAATTCATTTTGCTTTTAAATTCAGATGTATCTAAATTTGTCTTAGTTATTTGATTATCTTGAACATGATCAATATTAATAGTGTCATTACGGTTCACGTTCGAGTTGGACAAGTGTCCGTGATTATCGATCCTTAAATAAGGAGTATCGTTGTTGTCATCCTCGTTTATTTTACTATGATCAGTTTGACACTGACGTTCGTATCCATCGTCGATGGTGTTGCTTCCTGATCGTTGTCCAAAGGTACTTGCTATAAGATTCTCGCTCTCTCTCATTCGTTGTTGAATCTTGTCGCGTAACTTGTTGTTATGTTCGAAAGCAACATCAAGACTATCCTCGTAACCAGGATTATCAGCACGAGATATATCAGGACTGTCCGATCTGCTAGATTGTTCACTCTGTACATTACGAGTTCTACTACCACGTTTATTATATTCTCTTTCTCGTGTACCATGCATCTCTTCACCAAGTAACTGAAAAATAATGAATGATTCGTTAAAAAAAAAAAATAAATAATTCATTGAATTCAATGGATTCTCCTCCTCTCTATTATCTTACAGATAAAATATTAATCTTTCATTATTAACATAATCCGTATTGTATAATAATATCTTGATTGCATTTAATTTTATAAATAAGATCTAAGTAAGGAAATAATATTGTTGTTTTTATTCATTCATCATATCAATAATCTTTTCTAGAAAGAAAAAAAAAAATCAAATCAAATTGACTAACCTGATTAACCGATTCCAAGAGACTTCCAAGACTATTTTGACTTTCAACATCTCTCCATCGATCCTTATTGGTTCTATAAAGTTGTACTTGATCGTCCTTCTTATGATAACCATCCGAATGATCGAGCTTGATCTTTTTAGCTCCGCGTAACTCGTTTTCCGTTGTTGCTTTTAATCTCGAACAACACTCGACGAATAATTCCTCGTCAAAGTTTAACACCTTACCTTGTCGTGGCTTGGCTGATTCTATTTCATGTGGTACATCTAAAGCATTATCTTCAATTGCATCCGTTGGTGCTATTGTGATAACTTCTGTTCGATCTCTGTGATTGGAGGACGGTGATCTAATCAAGACTTTACCGTTAGAAAATACACTAGGACTTCTTTTCCTGTTCATATCTAAAATATGTTTCCTGTTTTCTTCTTCATCGTCATCTTCTTCATCTTCATCTTCTTCTTCTTCCATCACTGCTGCTGCTGCTGCTGCTGCTGCTGCTGTTGCTGTTGTTGTTGTTGTTGTTGCAGCTGTTGTTGCTTCTTCTTCTTCCTCATCTTCATCGTCAATTTCATTTTCACTGTTTGAACTACTACCTAACGAAATGTCAGGTGTATCACGAGCAAACAATGGTGACAACCTTCTCTCTTCACAAGTTAATTCATCGCAACGTACTTCCTCCTCATCATCTAATTCACTTTCATCTTCACAACTTATTTGTGAATCTCTATCGATACTCGTTAATTTGACTTTTGTATCCTGATTATTTATCTGTCCAGTCGACGATACAATTTGATTTTCGTGTAGATCATTATCGACACCTTTACCTTCATCTTCATCTTCTTCCTCAATATTGTTCTTTTCTTCTTCTTCTTCCTCTTCTTCTTCCTCTTCTTCCTCTTCCTCTACTTCCTCTTCTTCTTCTTCTTCTTCTTCTTCCTGTCGAATATTTATCGTATTGTAATGTTTGTTCTTTGCCAAATCAATCGTATCAATTTTGGATTCGTTTATTTCGTCATTCGTCGTCGTCATCGTTCTCTTCCCATATTTTCGATGAGATTTATTTTCTTCAATATCAACAATTTGTTGTTTAACCGAACGATTATTCTTTTTTCTGGAATTTTTCGATAATTCTTCATTATTAAAGTTTACAAATGTTCTATCGTAATCAATAGAACCATATCCATTATTTTGAACAGTGGAATCATTAGATTTAGATGATTTTCTTAATTCGTAAGATTTTTCTTTATTCCTTTGCTTATGATGATTCTTACGAGGTAAAACTTCGTCAAGACCATTTGACAATTCAAATGACCATGATATTTTTTCTTGTGCACGTTTTTTACTCAATCTACATCTAGAAGAATTCAATGTCGAAATTTCAGGTTCTAACGTTGACGTAACAACTGTCGTTGAATTATCATACGTGTTAGTAATTGTTTGTTCTTTCGTAATTTCACGATGTTTCAAATTATTTCGAGATTTGGAATGTTTATTATTACCACCACGTTGACGATGATGTTCTTGACGATTGGACGATGACATTTTCTCTTGTTGTTTCTTATGAGAAGAAAATGTATTTTTTCTTTTAACATCTCGTTTATTCGTCGCTCGTTTATTACTATTTGAATTGTTCGAACGATGTTTTTTAGTATTTTCATAATTGATATTTTTCATTTCCACAAATTTTTCTTCTTCTTCTTCTTCTTTGTTCAATGGTACATTATTTCCATTAAGTTCTTTCGAATCAAAACCATTACGCGATGTATCAGAATCATTTTCAGATTTCGATACCCAATCGTTCAATACTTCCTTAACTTTATCCATTTTTTCACAACCAAATACACGACCAAACACACTTTTCACGATTTTGTTTTTATTTTGTGACTCGTTCAGACCCTCATATTCGCTACAATCGCTGTCACTCGAATGTGTGATCTGCAATCTTTCCAATGCTGCTTTTCTTCTCCTTGTCATTCGTGATTTTTTATGAGTCACTTTTTTAGACGATTTATTATTACCCTTTCCTAATTTTTTCGACGTATCACGAGATTCCAAATTCGAAGTACGTGTTAATTCTAATTTGTCTTCTTCTTCTTCTTCTTCTTCTTCTTCTATTTTTTTATTATTAATCATCAATGAACTTGTTGTTCGTGATTTTTTATTCTCGATATAACAATCGTCAATGATGGGTGTAATTTCGTTGGTAATTATTTTACGTTCGGCAATGCAATATTTGTCATTGTTTATCTGTATTTGATCAACTTGTTTGTAATTTTTATTTGTTAATTTTAAATCAACGTTTTGTTCAATTTCCGTAACATTATTTTCTTCAACTTCATTGACATTATTGTCATTATTGTCATCACTTTCAAATTCACCAGATATCCATAATTTTGTATCCTTCTTCTTTTCTGTAGTATTTTTTAATTGTGATTCTTTGATTATTACTTTATCCATTGAAGAATGATCATTTTTATTATTTTTCATTATCTCTTTTTTCTTTTTATTATTCATTTCAATTAAAAATTCGGAAAGTGGTTTATCGGTTAAACTAGGCGATGATGGTGACGATGAAGTTGACGATGAAGATGACGATGAGGAAGACGATGAAGATGAAGAGGATGATGATGATGACGATGATGAAGACGACGACGACGACGACGACGATGACGATGATGATGACGATGACGATGATAATGCATCTTCATTCGTTTGAATAAATTTGATATAATTGTTCGTACAATTTTCATTAGTTTCCATGGATAAATTATTATCTACAATTTTTTCATTTTCATTATTTATCGTTAAAGGTGAATTAACTTCGTTAACGATTACATTGTGGGATGGTGGTGGTGAATTATTATTATCATTGCACGGTGATGATGACAACGATAAATCGTTTGGAAATAATTTAGCATCGTTCGTAATTGCAATAGGTTCGATTATTTTTGTTTCAATCGTCGAATGTTCATCATCATCATCATCTATGCGTTCGATATTATCTTCAAGTACGCATAAATCATTCCGTTCTAATAATTTTGAAGCAGTTGTCGTTGTCGTCGTCGTCATCGTCATCGTCTCGTTGTTAACATTCGATATCGATTTATCTTCGATTTCTTCATACGTTTCAGCGACACGTTGATGCTTTTTAGAAGATTTCGATGACGATGATTTCTTAACGTTTCTCGATATTACATTTGTTTCTATTTCCAAAGAATCCGTGATATTATTTTTACATTGAATTGTATCAATGGTAGAAATCAACGATATATCATCTTTCTTTTGCGTAATATCAATTTTAATTAATTCATCCGCATTATCTTTTAAAATTATTGATTCATTCTCTTGAAAATGTTGCAAATTTTTCTCCAACGTTTTATTATCATTTGTCATTGAATATCCATGATAATCATTATTCGAATTGTCTTCCTTATTTTTCGTCAAAATATTATTATCTATCGATTTTATATTAGATAATTCATACGTTTTACGATCAATAATATCAACAACAACATCGATATTATTCTTTTGTAATTCATTATTATCTATGTTAATCTTCTTCGTATTATTATCATCATCATCATCATCATCATCATCTTCTTCTTCTTTTTCTTCGATCTTTTTATCATAATCAATGTCATCATTTATATTCAATGACACGGAAGAATATCGATTATTCTCATCAACGTTGTTGTAATCTTCTTCAACAGTATTGTTCATTATTTCTATTACATTATTAATCATTGATTTATTATTAATTTTTACATTGTTCGCAACTATATTAGAATCTTTTAAATGATTTAATGATTCTTCGATAATTTTAGTCTCATCTTGATTAATAACATTAATCTCTTGTAAATGTTTCATTGAATCATTTTTATGAATTGTATTAACACTTTTGTTATTTGTACTCGAGGATATGGAAATTTCATCGACAATCTTGTCGTTAACCTTATTCTCATTATTATCTTTTATAGAATTAAGCTTTGATTGTAATTCTTTTTCTATATTAGTCCAATTAAATTCAACCTTATTATCAGATTTTTCTTCTTTGTAATTACTATCGATATTTTCTTCTTCCTTTTCTGACGTTGAATTTGTTCTAATATCAATAATAGATTGAGACAAATCATTTTCTTTGAAATCATCTTGCATTATCTTTGATTCTGTATCATTTGATTTAGTACAATTGTCATTTTTTACGAGAATTTTGGTTATTTCTAAATTCCAAGATGATGAAGCAACAACAGCATTATCATCATCATCATCATCATCATTTTTATCATTTGTAGTTTTATTTAAATCAGAATCTTTATTAACAGATTTGTTGTTTTGTTCTGTGATCACTTTTTTCAATTCAGGTGTATTCAAATCCAAATGTTCATCAGCCAAATTTCTTTTCTTCGTTTTTTCACGCTTCTTATCATTCTTTTTCTTCTTAATATTATCATCGTCAATTTTTGTATTAACATTTTTCAATGGTGTTGAGGTTGATGATGTTTCTTGTTGAATTGGACTAACGTGATCGGTCAAAACATATTCATCGTGGCTCATGTTTTCAGTTATTTTACAAATTTCTTCATCTAAAAGTTCATCTTCCAATGTTTCTTGATGATGATGATGATGATGATTATTATTATTATTAACCGAATTTTCGAAAGAAGTTGTTGACGATTCCATATTGTTTAAATAATCAGACGAGGTGGTTGTATCATTTTTATCAGAATTGGACAAATCATCATTGATCATTTGTAAATGATCATCAATCGATTCGTTCGTTGTTTCTTTATAATCAATTTCATCGTTAACATGATGATCATCATTATAATTGATCATCCAATCACCATTTTCATCACATTTATGATCTATATCTTTATTATCGCAATTATTAACCTTATTATCCTTGTCTGATTTGGTTAATTGTATCAAATGTGATTGCGATTGATGATGTTTTTTAAGTGAACTCTTTCGCGTAAAACTCGTCGCACAAACGTCGCAGAAAAATTTGGCAGCTTCTTTGGTGAGTTTTTTGCGTTTTTCTACGATCAAAATTTCACCACTTTTCGTATGAACAACCACAAAATTACCAGCAGTACGTTTTTTCGGCGTTTGATGATCATCCAAAATTTGACTGTGATCATCCAATCCAAATTCGGAATCATTTGCAATGATCGATGATTGTTCGGAAATGATAGAATCATCTTTGTCAGTTTCAATGCTATTATTTTGATTATTTTTATCATCGATTGAAATCACATCATCGATTGATTTAACATCTTCCAATGGTGTTGTTGTTGTTGTTGTTGTTGTTGATTTTTCTTCGAGATTTTTATTTTCTTGAATGAAATTTTCAACAACATTTTCCTCACCTTTTTTTTCTTCTTTTTCTTCTTCTTCTTCTTCGTCTTTTCGATCGACAACGTAGGTTGTTGTTGTTGTTGTTGTTGTTGTTGTTGTTGTTGTTGGTACTTCGTAAAAGGTTTCCTCAGAACTTTCGCTGTTAGAAAAATCTTCGAGAAATGAAATATTATCTTTGGCTCGTCTCTTTGGAATTTGTCTTCTTTCGATACCATTTGAATTCAATTTTCCATTTAACAATTTATTATTGTTAAATGAACAATCATCGGTTTCCGGATCGTCGTTAATTTCATGATGATTTTTCTTCCTTCTCGTAAAACGTTTTCTTCTTTGACACGAATTATTATTATTATGATTATGATTATTATTATTATTATTGTTATTATTATTATTATTATTATTACTAGTTTCACTGGTACACGAAGAAGATTCGGACAAATTGTCTGTTGTTGTTGTAGTTGTTTCCAAATGATCAGAACACGTTGATTCTTCTTCCGTACGTTTGGTACGCCTTGATGATGATGATGATGATGATGATGATGACGATGATACTTTTATTTTACATGAATGATTATTTAATGTATCATTTTCCATGGAATTCATGGAAATCGATTTGTCGATATTATCAATCGATAAATCACGATCGATTAATTTAATTTTGTTATCATCGGATACAATTTTGCATGATCGATGATCTTCCATCAAAGATTCATCGTTACGAATAGTTGATAATAATTTTGTCGATTCTTTCGTATTATCATCTATCGTTTTATTATCATCTTGAACATATTCACCACCAGTTTTTAATTCATAATGTTGTTCTTCGTGAATGATTTTACGTTTTGACGTACGCTTCTTTGTATGCTGCAACACGTCGCTTACTTCGGGAACTTTGAAGGGTTCCGGAAGGGCGTTGCTGGCATTTGCCGCCGGAAGATCAACGTTCGACGATTCCTCGCTCGAACAAACACTACCAACATTAGTATTAGTATTTGTAATAGTAGTAGTAGTAGTAGTAGAAGGAATAGATGATATCGTCAATTCTGTCGAAGATGTACAAGTTTTTTTAATGCGATTATTACTATCATCCATTGTACATTTGACGATGAATTTAGATTTCTCTAAAGATTTATCAATCGTCGATTCTTTAACAGGTAATGATTTTAAATGTTCCTCCTCAATGATCAATGATTTCTTTTTTCTTCCACGTTTTTTAACAATTTTTTGCGGTTGACTGTTGTAAGACGTTGTTGTTGATGAAATTTTGCCATCGTCTTCGTCATTGGTGTTAGCAACAATTACAGAATCAGTGATTTTTATTGACGATGAATCTTTCTTCATTTTTTCTTGACAAATATTGTTGTCATATAACTTTGATATCTCAGGTATTCGCAATATTGTTGGATGCTGTTGCTGTTGCTGCTGTATTGTAGAACTTACTTTATCTTTTTCCTCATCTTTATTTAATAATTCACATATATTCGTTTCAACAGTTGTAATAGTAGTAGTAATCATATCTTCAACGTTTCTTCCAGGAATCGAAGAATCTAAATAAGATAAACTATTTTTAACGTCATCGAATGTTTCTTCCTCCTGTTCAACGTTATCTGCTGAAACAACAACAGCATCGATAACAGTAGACGATGATTTTAGTCTAGAGGATTTTCTTCTTCGAGACGTTGTAACTATAGTAGTAGTAGTAGTAGTATTAGTAGTTGTAGTTGTTGTTTCTTCTTTTTGAATTTTCGTTTCACTCGAGGGCGTATCCACCGATCGATATTCCACTACGTTATCGTCGATTAAATCGGAGGAGTCCTCGTTGTTTAATTTTCTTTTAGAAAATCGTCGTCGTCTACCCAGCAAATTTGATTTCAATTCTGATGATTTACGTTTGTTTTGTTTTCGACAATTCAACAAATTAGTATTAGTATTAGTAATTGTAGTAGTTGTTGTAATTGTTTCGTTAGAAATCGATGATGATGATGCTTCTAATTTATTTTCATGATTTTCTTTATTCATCGTCATCGTTGTTGTTGCTGCATTTGAATCGGATAATAATTTAGAAGAATCCATATTTGATATTGTTACATCAATTTCTTTCGAATTACAATCATCAATTTTAGTTTCCTCAATGTTTGTTTTTAATTTGATTGTATTTTCAACAACCATTTGCAATTGTATCTCGTTTGAATGATTATTAGAATTATCGTATTGATTTTTCAAATCTTTTTCAATAACATTTTGAATATTTTTCAATTCGTTATTGCTTTCTATCGTAGATGAGACATTTACAATATTTTCTATCGAATTATGATGTTTTTGTTGATCATTATTCTCTTCCAATTGTGTTTTATCTTCCATTGAAACTTTCTCAATCACATTTTTCAACGAACTATTACTACTACTACTACTACTACTACTACTACTATTATCATCTGATTTTCTTTTAGATTTTCGTTTTGATTTAGAAATAACTTCATTGATAATATTGTCATCATTTTTATTAAATTTCATTTGATTATTTTCCATAGGTAAACATTTTTCAACAATATTATCAATTTCTTTTTGATCATTTATTATAACGTTATTTAAAATATTACTCTGAACTACTTCTCCCTCTTTTTCTTTATTTTCTTCTTCTATTCGTTTAATAATTGTTTCATCGGATAGAATTAGATTGAATTTATCAGACTCGTTAGATTTATATTCTGATATTACAGGATTTATAATAATAATATCGTCAGATAGTTTCTCATTCAGATTAGGATTAACAGACTCGTTAAAAACTTCGTTAGTTTTCAATGTATCGTTGATCCTTTTATTAATCGTATCATCATCTAATTCAGAATTTTCATCAATATTATTTTTCATACTAATCGATTTATCATCACAACGTTCGATAACATTATCATTTTTATTTAATTTAGGTTCTATCAATTTTTCACTAGATTCCTTACCAACGTTAATAACTTTATTTTCATGTAACGTATCAATATTGGTATCTAAATTAGGTCCAACTTCATCTAATATGCTAGTTAATTCATCTGCAGCTATATCCAATAACGTACCAACTTCACCTTCCAAAAGTGCATCCTTTTGTTTGGCAATTTTCGAGACAATTTTTTCTAAAAATGAACCCTTCTTTTTAGGTTTCCTTTTGGAAAGATCTAAAATGATATCGTTAGTTGGTGAAATGATTTTACGTGATTTATCAATGACGACTTTAGGTGTATCATCTTCAGGTGTTATCATCACCGATGGTGTTGGTGGTAATGGTGTTTCTTGTTTATCCTCATTCTCACGTTCTTTTTCTTCTGTAGAAGATGATACAGCATTATCAGTTTCAACAATTTTGTCAGTATTATTAACGATATTACCAGCAGATGGTTGAGATGCATCACTTTGTGCAACACCAACAGGATTATTAACGTTTTCTACGTTAGTTTGAACCGTAAGAACGACACTTTGTTGAACTTCAACAGGTATATTCATACCTTCCGTTAATATACCAATGACATTACTCAATGATCTTTTTGATGTTCTTTCACGTCTCGAACCCCAACATTTTTTTGGTCTTCCTACTTTTGGTTTGTTAGAATTTGTCGTTGATGATTCGATCATTGAATTTTCTTTACCACTATCTATCGAATTATTTGTTCTTTCTGATTGCAATTGACTCAGATTTAAATTAATCGGATTATTGTTTGTATTGTCTACTGATTTTTTTGTATCTTTTGATGTCACAATGGTGTTATCATCATTGATATTGTTTTGTTGAATTATTTTCGTATCTTTGTCAAATGATGATTCTACTTCATTAATTGTAATATTATTAGTAACGATTGGTATTGACGATGAATTCATTTTCATATCATTATTATGTTCATCTGTTATTTGATCAACGTTTGATTTGATTCTACCACGTCGTTTGCCCAACGATGTGTTCTTCTTTAAAATAACATCGTTACTTTCATCCGCAATACTTTCTTTCTTATTACATTGGAATACTTTAGAATCATCTTTAAGATTTTTTCCATGATTTTCTGATCTTTCTTGATCGTCAGTATTTACAGGATCTTTTTTATGATTTTCTATTTCAGAATTACAACACGAGGATGTAGTTTGTGAACAAGTAATAGTATTACTATCTTTGGTTTGTTCAATTTCTTTCGAATTAGAATCATTGTTTTTCATTATTTTTGTATTTTCATCATTGTTCATTTGAGATGATTTATCATCATCATCATCCGTTATTTTGTGTTTATCGATGTTACCTTTTTTTTCATTATTTCTCGGTGATTTTCTTAAACAATTATTCTTCTCTTTTTTGGATGTTTTAGACCAAGTCTTTGCTGGTACATCCAACGTTGATGATTTTCGTGAGATTTCGGTTGTTGTATTACCACCACCAGTTACACGTGTATTCGTATCTTGATCTTTAGAAATTTTCGCAACATTTTTAGCATTTACTTGAGAATAATCCAATCTTGCAGTTGATTGCCTTAAACTACGTTTAGATGAAATATCTAACAGGGATGTTACATCAAACCTAAAAAAATTATAAATATCTTCCCTTGCATTAGCGTGTAATCCTATCAAAAGTTTTTTCACTTCGAATGGCATGTCCTTTGTATTGAGAGATTCCATGTCCTGCGAATAGATGGCACGATCCTGTGTTCGTGTTCTTGAATAACTTCTCGTTTCTAAGGTTTTCGACAAATTTGAGTCTTCATAGTCCTTTCTCGTTGAAGAAGAAGAAGAAGAATCATCCCTTTTCGTACCGTCAGCCGAAGTAGCACGACACTTTGAACCCCTTGGGTTGTTGACTCTTCTTCCATCTTCCTTTCTAACATTTTCTTCCGACGCGTTGTTGTTTACACTTTTTGCCGGTGCACTTTTTCTCGTTCTTATTCTACTTTCTCGTATGATCACTTTGTTCGAATTATTTTGATTCTCTCGCGTAGTCGACAACGAATTACCAACCACCATCACCGGTTGTTGTGAAGGTGGTGGTGGTGGTGGTGGTGGTGCTAATACTCCGGTTTCCTGTTGTTGTTCAATTTTACGATCGATTATTTTACTGTTGTCAACATTAGTTTTTCTCTTTTTACATTGTCTCTGATCTTCCATTTTATTGTTGGATGATTCGTTAGTCAAATTTCCAATAATTTTTGATGACATCGTCGTAGAATTATCTCCTATACCATTGTCAACATTTCTATTGCTACCACGAAGTATCTTTTGATCGGAATTACTGACAGGTGAAAGTATAGGTAAATCGTTGGTTGATTTGTCAACGTATTCTTCCTCGTTAGACGATATCTGTATTACCGGTTCTAATGTTGGCATTTTGTCACTGTCCGAAGACAATCTCGTTGTTCTTCTAGGTACTTGTTGTTGTAATTGTACATCATCGTTGTTCTTAGTTTTCGTAACAACGTGATTTAATTTAGATTTAGTTGATTCCGACAACAAATCTTTACTCATGTTACGTACCAACGGTGTTTTCATTTCACGAATTTTCGTTTGTTGTTGTTGCTGTTGTTGCTGTTGTTGTTGTTGAACGTTCGAAACTTTGTTAGGATTTCTAGCAAATTTTCCATCCTGCGTACGTAATTGAGATTTAGCTTTAATCGATGCATTCAACGATGTTACCGGATCAACCGAACGTTTTCTTTTAGGGGTTGTTTGACCAGAAGTTGATTTATTTTTACCAACAGACGGTGGTGTTTTAATATTACCAACATTAGATTTATTATCCGAATAATAATCATTATTATCAATGTTCGATGATATTTTATTCGAAGTTTTGATATTTTTCGTATATTTGGTCGAATCGTTCGTAGTATCTTGTATCCTAATCTGATAGTTGGTTGACTTCAAGGTCGTCTTGTTTCTCGCTCTAACTCGTTCGCGTCTCATCGTACCACCACCACTACCACGTGCATCGACGTTCTCAACGACTGCATTTTTCACCTTTATGTTCTTTTTCTTTCCAAGCACCCTGGGCCGTCCGACCTTCGGCTTATTATTCTCTCTACCACTACCACTACCACTACCACCAACACTACCACTACCACCACTACCACTACCACTACCACTACCACCTCTCCTTTCCGTTTCTTCCTTTCTATCCTTCGAGGTAGTTTCAATCTTCTCTTTGGTTGTAGTCTCACTATTCCCACTACTACTACTACTACTACTACTACTATCCATGGTTCTTTCCCTTTCCTTTTTATTATCCCCCCCATCGTGTTTTCTATCGTTATTATCATTATCATTAATTTCGTTATAATCATTAATGACACTTTCGATCACTGCCGATATGTTGTCACTTCTACAACGATTGCGTTGAATTGATTTAGCATTTTTCAATAATTTATTCCTTAATACTGCCTTATTCCTTGACATCCTTGATGCTGTTGTACTATCGTTGCTCATACGTGGTCGTGATCTCGTCTGGACCTGTGCAAACATTTGGGGTTCAACACTATAAACGCGCCTATCTTCAATGATCATCGTTTGGATTATTAGATAAAGGGTGTCTTGTAAAAACACTCGATCGAATTATTTATTTCAAGATTGTTCTTTTTATTTTGTTAACAATAAAATAGTATAGAAAACAATGATTAACACGTTGGTCGCCATGTCACCGTTTAGAGGAAACGGGCAGGCATGCTTCTCCGTAGGGGCCCCGTCACCGTATACGGTGACGCTCGCTCTTCTTGTCAAAGTTATTATATTAATATTAACAAATACGTATGTATATGTGTTGACTAGCATTGTAAAGGGTTAATACTTATTTTTATTTCCATTGAAATTACTAATACTATCGATCGAATATTTTTCAATACACCCACTGATAATATTAATTCTACTCGATATAAGTTATTATTTTTGATTAATAAAAAAAAAAAAAATAATAATATTTTATTACTATTGTTCTAATTACATGACCAACGGACAGATTACAAACAAACACATACAATCAAATTATTACCTAATTATCGTTGATCGTATTATTAATGAAAATATCTGCTTTTTCAATGTGAACGCAATCACTGAGAAAAAAAAACAAACAAATAAAAAAATCTCTATTATTCCTATATCAATAAAAAAATTATACAAAAAAAAAAAAAAAATAATATAAATGTATACTTTGTTGTACTTAACAACTTTATTTTTAACACTTGTATTCCATAATAAAAATTAAATATTAATGTTAAATAATTGAACGGATGATCATTAAAAAAAAAAAAAAAAGAAAATATAACTGTGATACAATATAGTTTATGCAAAAAAAAAAAAAGTAAAGTAATACAAATTGGATAATAAAAAAAAATATATAATAATAAACCAAAAAAAAAAATCAAATCTATCTGAAAATGTTTATCGCCATTGGTTGTTTAGACTAGGATATAAAAATTGAAAAAAAAAAAAATAAATAAAAGATTAAAAAAAATGTCCTATTATATTTTCTCTTTCATATGAATTCGCATAACATACGCGCGTATGTATATGTGAATAATTTTAGCAATGTGTGGTGCTACAACACACCACGCGTACAAACGATGAAGGTGGGGGTGTAAGGGGGAGTAGAAAGATAGCACGCGTGCAATTTTCGCATAGATGGATGAATGTGTGTGTATGTATGTGTATGTGTGTGCCGAGCTAATCAATACTCCATTTATATCCGTGTCATCCACTTCAACCAGCCGCGTTATGCGTTTCATCGTTTTCTTATCATTATCAACTTATTTAACTTTTTTTTTTTTGTATCGAACCACAAAGCTTTTAGGGTCACACAAAACGTTCATAATCTTACATTAACGCATGACTTTAATTTTTTTTGTTTTTTAAATCGGTCAATGTGAAAATAAATCATTCGAGATATACTAAAGAATATTACTTGCCTCATTAGTTAACTTATAATACTTGTTAGATAATTATATTGACATTAAAAATATTTTTTTTTTCTTAAAATGATGTATAAGCAAATATTTAAAATTATTTCTAGGTCTTTTTTGTGGTTTTTTTTTCTTTTTTAATTAAAAATAATATAAAAATTATTTCTTTTAATAATCGCACTGTTTTTATGAATATTTTGGGATGACTGTTATTTAATTAAAAAGAGGTTTGATCGGGATTAGGATTAAAACAAAAAAAAATTTATCTACTTTTTAAAAAAAGATATAAATTAAAATTTTGTATAAAAAAAAACTACTTTTTAAAATATTTCTCAAGTATGCCTCAGATAATATCAAAAGATAGATATAAATGATTATATTTGAAATTCTTAAGTTTAATAAATATACTCAGCTATTTAATAATAATAATAATAATAATAATAATAAGAATTTCATAAAATAATTTCTCAACTATTTTTAACGCGAGTTAAACTAATTTTCCATTGGAGAATAAAACTTACGTTACGCAGTCTGCCTTGGGTTCTCAAAGTACTGTCCTGTAAAACTTTTCTCGTAGCCCTTTTTGGGGGTAGATTGGCCAACATTTTTTGAATACTCTCACCTGGGGACAATGTAATCATTAATGTTCTCAAAAGATCTTCAAATAGTTCCTTTTGTAAAAATCTTTTTTATTGATTTTTGAAGAAATTTCATTTGATCGAACAAGAAGTGTAAAAGTGTGGACACATATTTTTCAAATAGTTTCAAATCATTAATTTATTATTGTTAAATGTATAAAAGATTTGTTAGAAAAATTGGTGATTATTTCTTACGGTCACTTGGTCGAACCCTAGGCCCTGTTGGTTGTTTCTCCTTTGGCACGTTCGAACGTGGTGATTGTGAATTTTGAATATTTCTTTTCATGCCACGTTGACGACGTCTTCTGCTACGACTACCAAACGGACGCCACTTGCACTTCTTTTTACCGTTACCAAAAAGTCCCAACAACCATGTCTGATCACCGCCACATTCCAACATGTGTCTATGTAATTCGGAAAATGTACTACAATTTTTCGAACACTTGGTACAAATTTTTTCCGGCAATTCGGCATTCTTAGCTTTTATCGTGGGTGTACTGCGACCAGGTAGAAACAGATGTTTGTATAATTCACGTTGATCACCGGAAAATTCGTAATGGGAGCACCAAACGTTTGGATGCATTGATGATTTGTGATCTTCCATTTCCCTTAATGTTACCTACACGAAAAGAAACAAAAAAAAAAAACAACAATAATATTAATGTATTATTTTTGCAATGTTTTCAAATATGATCAAAACAAACTTACGTGTTTTGTATTACAAGCACCACAAATATAAATCCTAGGTCTTGACCATTCACCAGTTAATTCGGCATAAACGACTTGTTGGATTTTTGGGTCAGCATGTCCACCACTAGCACCACTACCATTACCACTACCACTAGCAATAGTAGCAGTAGCAGTAGCAGCAGCAGCAGCAGCAGCAGAATCGTCCCACTTTTGAAGTCTCATGAAATTACCGAACTCTAAACTAAATTCTGTAGACTTTAGAGATTGATCTACAGGTTGATCCATGCGCATAATTTCCTTCTCACGTCGCTCGATCAAACCGATAGCTCTTAAACAGGATGACTGATCAAGGCCACTATTATCTCCAAGAGATGTGCAAGGATAATCGATTATCGATTCTTCTTCTGTGTCTTTACTTTTATCTTTGTTAACAGTTTGTTCATTCCCGAGACTAGTTTGTACGACGACATCGTTGTTATTTGCGTTAGGTTGTGGTGATAATACCTGTGGTAACCTGTTCAGTGTTACACGTTCCTTCAACAATTGTTGTTTCTTTCTTAATTGTAATTGCGTCGATATATCGAATTTACTTAGATCCTTGATAGAACAGGTCCACTGTTCTTTACCGTCGTATTTTCTTGGAAAATTGTATTTCTCGAATGAGACCCTTCGCGGATAAGACCTACTACTTTTTCCAGGCTTTTGTGCGTATTCGCTAGAATTTTCGTATTCCTCTACGACGTTATAATCTTTGTTATAAACCGGTGTGGCAGCTGTTAACGATATATCGATCGGAAATTGAATTTGATTAGGATTGTTGTGTTGTTCGTAAAAGGATTGTTGTTGTGGTTTTGATTCTGTCATCGTTGATGATGACGACGACGAAGACGACGTTGACGCTGACGAAGATGAAGAGGATGATGACGCAGCTGACAACACAGTCGTCGTAGTCATAGTTGTCATTGTCGTAGTTATCGTCATTGTCGTAACCATCATCGTTGTATTAGTTGTTGTCGTCATACTCGTCATAGTCGTAGTCGTAGTAGTAGTCGTCATAGACGAATTACCATTCGTCCCGGACGACGTGGGGTTGTTAGTTTGCAATTTTCCATCCAAATGATGAAGTAAATTCTCACGAATATTGCAACTCACGCTGCTGTAGAAGGAACTATCGAATTCTGGGCTACCGGGATTGCTGAAAACGTCCTTCGTAGTAGTTGGTACGATGTACTTCAACAAACTACTAGTCGTCTCCGATCGATATTCCGCTTCCGCGTCACACGCTTTTCTATCTTTCGAGGGCGGAACGTCCGATTTTATGTTGGAACTTTGGCAAACGACCTCCTTACACGTAGTAGTAATAGTAGTAGTAGTAGTAATCGGTGGTTCCTTCATTTTTTCCTAAACATTCATTTTATATATTCACAAATATATCTTAATAATAACATACATAATTGCAAACAAGATTGATTATACTATAAAAAGCTAATTTGGTTTAATAATTGTTTTCTCATTACAAATTTTGTGAAATTAAAATCGTATAATGTATGTGTGTGTTTTGTTTTCTAAAGTTTAAACATTAAAAATTTGTTTTCCCCCCTCTCAGAAATATATAAACAAACGTAAATGATTGTTACCTGAATTTGTGGGGTGGTCCTTTCTCTAACGGTGGGAGTAGTAGTTGTAGTAGTAGTAGTAGTAGTAGCATGAGTTTCGTTTATATGAGCGAGTAATGCTTCTCTCGTTAAATATCTCGTGGAGCATTGAATGCATGCGTGATATTTGTCAGGATGATTATCGGCCATGTGAAGAAACAAACATTCCAAACTGTTTGAGCATTTGTCAGAACAGTATTGACAATTTTGTGTAGATCTTTTTAAATTTCTTTCGGAACGACGACCACCACCTAATTGATGTACCCTTTCGGTATGTCTCTGTCTTAAAGATATTGACAAAAATTTTCTGTCACAATAAAGACAGAGATGTCTCACCGTTGGTGATGGTGATTTTGACGAGGTTGTTGTTGTTGTTGTTGTTGCTGCTGTTACTGCTGCTGCTGCTGCTACTGTTGGTGACTTTGCAACGGTGGTTTGGATTTGATGCGAGTTTAACGATGACGTTGTTGAAGAAGTAGAGGATAAGGGTGCGGGTGTGGATAATGAAATTGAGGATGAAGATAGTGACTGTTGTTGTTGAACCGTAAAAGTTTCAACTACGGATGGGGCAGCAGCAGCAACAGTAGTGGTAGTTGTTGTAACGTTAGAAGGTTGACAATTTTGTAAAACTGATGCGATCCTTTCGAGTGGTAAACTACAATGAAGACTCGTAGTAGTAGGTGATGATGAAATTTCTTCGTGTACCTGAGAATTTTTCGTTTCGTCCATGGTACCATCACTATCACCACCAACACCACTACCATCACCACCACCATCACTAAATGTTCTTGTAACGTTCATTATTTCCGTAGAATTAGTTTTCTTATCGATACACTGATCTATACAGTTTAATAAATCGTTCAATAAATCACGACAAGTGTCACGTAACTCAAGATTTTCCATAATTTCGTCAACACTATTGGTATTCCTTCCTCCTTCGACGATCGGATGATCAAACCTCTCCATAATGATCATACCTAAAGATCGATTCTCTCTTTTATCAAACTCCGATTGTTCGGTTTCTTTAATTAACGTATAATAATTATTTTCCTTACTCAGTTCATTTTTATCATGATCAAAGTTGGACAACTGATGACGATTAGGAAGAGACGAAACTTGTCCTAATTCCTCTAAATTAATCGTCGTCGTCGTCGTTGTTGTTTTCGTTGTATCCTCGCTCCAATCCATATTGCAATGAACTGTAGTAGTATCACTCTCCAGATGATCATTCTTCATTTTGTCGGCATGTTCGGAAGGTAAAAAGACCGCAGTTTCGGTTCTACTCTCGTTCGGTTTGGAAGGTTCGAATTTCGGTCCCTTCGAATCCTCATCTTCTTCTTCTTCCTCCTCCTCCTCTTCGTCCTCCTCTTCATCCTCATCTACGTCCTTGGGTCCTTTTCCACTTCCTCCACCAATAGCAGATGGTTTCTTTTCAGTTTCTTTTTTCTCAACGATCTTACCTTCGTCTTCCTTTGCCGTCCCACCTTCCACTCGTACCACCACTTCTTCCCTTAGCTCTCCCACTTCGACATTCTCCACCTCCTCTTCGTCCTTTATCACAACATTCAACACGGTCATCACGTATTTCTCTAAAGTTTCGAGATTTCTCTCAACGCTATTTCTACCAACCTCTTCCTCTTCTTCCTCTTCCTCTTCTTCTTCTTCTTCTTCTTCTTCCTCTTCTTCCTCTTTCTTTTCCTTTTCCTTTTCTATTCGATTATGCGAATCTCCACTATTATTAATATTACTACTATTCCTACAATCCGGCACCTTTTTTCTCAAATTGTTAATCAAATTGCTAAGCCTACTCCTCTTGTCCTGAGCAGTTTGTGCCGATCTGTATACGTGTGCTGTCGTATGTTTCTCTTGAATAACTTGTTGTTGTTGTTGTCTCTCGTTTCCGCTAGCACTTGCTGGTTGGCTTACGCCAAGATCTTCGAGATTGTGCATCGAGGCAACCATTTTGTTGTTGTTTTTTTTTTTTTTCAATGAAGTCGTTATTAGTTGTCGCTTTTGTGTCAAAGATTATTAAACTTAAATAGAAAAAAAATCACATCTTCTTCTTCTAAAAATTCATTCGCCAATCCTCTTTCTCTCTCTTCTAAATGTTCTGGTGCCAGGGTTGGATTCAATGAATCCAAATCTTCT